TTTGGTTCTCTTTATTTAGAGGTACGGGAATTTCCTTCCTTAATTGAAAATTTTAATAGGTGAAACATGAAATACCTACTAAGAAAATTTACATACTTTTACATAAGAGAACAATTAGTGAGTTGGGTGGATCTTTTTAAGTTCTAATGAATGGTCATAGATTACAGGAAAGAAGTTTGCAAAGAACCGGTGTATGTATTTTTCTTAAGTTACTGCTGATATTGCATTTATTTTGCATAACGATTATTTTGCTATAATGATGTGCCGGTACTTTCGATTCATGTGTGCCTTCTTTTCCAATGTTAGGTCTATTTATTGGCAAGCTGAACAATATGTGTTTTATAATGAAGTAGAAAATCGGTGTTTACCTTCTTTAACAAACGTGGATACAAGTAGTTGAAATTCCGAGAAATTATTGTATTATTCATTATTGACGAAATTATATTGGTTTAGCTTTTCATGGGATACACAACGCCGTGATCTATGTGTATTCGACGCTGATTCCAGGGAGAACTACGATTACTCTCTGTTTCATTCTCTCACCCTCTAAATTATAGAATTTTATAACAATGGGAAAGGTAGTGCTCAGCAGTTAAAGAGTGAAGCTACCCGTAATTTGATTGTGAATTCAAGCTGCTACGCAAGAGAGTTCATTGAGGGTATTTTAATTATGTTACAAGGTTTCAAGGGTTCTTCAGTCGGAGTATATGGATTTTAACATTGGGAGAAAGGATACATATTGGTATACCTTTTATTAAGGTAGTAGGGGTGTCCTGGCCACAAGTTGCTTTTAATTTCGAAAAAACAGTTAATGAGAGTCTGAAGAGAATAATCGTCAGCAGCAGCTCATCAATTCATCAAAGTCAAAGGTCAATGTGTTGTTTCAGACCGGGCGCTGGAGGCCCGGGCGCTCGTGGAGGCTATCAAGGTAGAATTATCGAAGTGGGATATATTGTATATATATATATATATATGTGCCTCTCTGTTCAGGGAATTTGTGTTACACTGCTTTGGTTTTTATGTATAATTTGGTTGGGTGTCGCCAAAATAAAAGTTGATTTGTACAGCCTTAAGTCGTCGAGTCGAATAAATACTAAAAGAGGGTTTTACTAATAAGAAGATGTGCCTGTCATTATATTCATCTAACAGTCATCTGTGAATTCTATTCTAGATTTCGTTTTACATATTTGCATGTTTAGATAGAACTGGGCCTCGTTCTGGTGGTGGGTATGGAATTGGATCACGTGATGATCAAATCGAAGTTCGAGAAACTGTCTTCATCCAAGGAATACCTGTAACGTATGTTCTCCTCCTATACTTGATTAATTAAAGGCAATTATTTTACTGCACTTTTTCCTTTTTGAAGGTATGTTGTTGTATACAGTATTTCTTTGCATTTATTTCTGTGCTTTTAGAACTGAAAATAACTTGTGGAAGGTGACGATAATGCCTGCTTTGTTGTTGATAGATAGGACAAATATTTTTGTCCAAAATATATAAGATCTGAAGCACTTATGAAAACAGAAAACAAAAACATGTAGTAATTTGAAATGCAATTGTTCTTGCTTTTATAGAGCAAATGAGCAGTTCATCGCCGATGTATTCAGTACTCAAGGAGATATAGCGCGTAACGAGCGTACTGGTGAACCTCGGATTAAGATTTATACTGATCGTGAAACAAATCAACCGAAAGGCGAATGTACAATTACATTTGTTGACGCAAAAACTGCTGAACGAGTAATAAATGTTTATAATGGTAAAGCGATTATTATTTTCACTAAATTTCTGACGATTGCCGGCAGCCGCGCACATTAGCATTTAAAATACTTTTTTTTCAGCATAATGCCATGAATGCCGTTAAAATGTGTTTTACACCTATATTTGCAGGACAGTGTTTTCCGGGAAGTGAACAGTGCATGAGTCTTAGTTTTGCAAAATATAAGACAGATATTTCTCGAGGTGGTGGAGGTAGAGGCAGCCGCGGCGGTTTTGGCGGTGATCGTGGAGGACGTGGCTTTGACAGAGGGGGAAGAGGAGGTTTGTTTTTCATGTGTCCTAATGCATATTCCAGTCTGTTCTATATGTTTTTCATTAATGTGTAATAAAGAAATTTAGGTGGTTTCGGTGGTAGAGGACGAGATGAAAGTGGATATGGGGGCGGTGGTGGAAGTCGTTACAGTGATCGTGATGGCGGTGGACGTGGTGGTCGTTTTGGTGGTGGTGGTGGACGAGGTGGTTTTGATGATCGAGGAGGATATGGTGACAGGGGAGATCGTGGAGGACCTTTTGGATTTGGCGACCGAGGAGGGCGTGGGGGTAACCGGGGTGGATACGGCGGACCGCGTGATGATTATGGAAGAGATGGTAAAGTTTTTCATGAAAGATAACTGATGTTTTCAATTGCTTTTAAATAACTCATACTTAAGTATTTCTAAAATATGTTCCACCTCTGTTGGATGATTTACCACTTATTTTTTATATCAGTATGTATAATTTCAGGCCGTGGCGGAGGAAGAGGTGGTCGTGGCGGTGATAGAGGTGGTCGCGGTAGTGACAGAGGAGGCCGTGGAAGAGGTTTTTATTTTAGAAAATACTCTTAATTTTGTAACTTATACATCTTCATTGTTTTTTCAATTTTGCTACAGATTCAATATAAACAAGTGTTTTCAGTATTATATTTACACACTATATGTGCTTAGCTGGATAAAGAAAATTTTCAGGACGCGGCTCCGGGACTGGAGCTAATACGGAGCCACGACCTAACGATTGGTCATGCGATGGCTGCGGTAATACTAATTTCGGTTTTCGACAAGAATGCAATCGATGTCACGCTCCTCGACCTGGTGGTGGCAGCAGTGGCATTGGACCAATGCGAGGTGGTGGTGGACGAGGACGCGGCGATCGATCAGCTCCGTACTGATAGATCATCCATTGTCACACTACTTTGTTATGTTTTACTGCATGTTACAGAATTGAAAATTAAACAAAATTTCCAAAGTTTGCAGGACGCTTCCTCCTAGTGTGGTGTGAATCTCTGGGTGCCCACATCAAATTTAGCTTATAACACTTTTATCGACCGTATGAATTCACCGTCGTCTTGTCCTGTTCATGTTGCGTGAATTTGTGGTCTTCATTATAACTGTGGAATATTATGGTTTTATATTATTTACATAGTTCCCATTTCCTTATTTACATTCAATTTTGTACTCTGGATCTTTGTAGTGATTCTAACTTTACTCTTACTTACTCTTCTGAAAAGTTTCTTTTCGCATCTGGCTTCATGAAAGTTACTGTTGTCTGTTTTAATTCTGACAAAGCACGACAAGAAACCTTTTGGACATTTTCGAAACATTTTCAAAAAATGAGGATTATGAAATGCAATTGCAAGATGAGTTAAGAATAATGAATTACTGTCCTTGTTAATTTTAGATTCATAATCTTCGTTTCAGAGGCAATAAAATTGACGGGAACAATTAGAAAGTATGAACAATAACTAAAAAGTATAAATAAAATGAAAAGACAGTGTATATCGTATTCATAGCACAGGAAGATTGAAATTTCTTAGTACTAATACTAACAGTTTTTGTGCTCGCATCCCCATCAGATTCGATTTGCAGTTTAAAATGAAAATTCTACAGAGCGGAATATCTAAGGTAACTGAGATAAAAAAAAAAAAAACTATGCAATGCTTTCAATCATAAAGGGCAATGTGGTCGTTTTTCACGAGGAGTGCATTGATGGTTCCACCCAAGAAATGGTTTTTCTCGCAAAATCCTCCGCATTAAGAGGCAACGACCATTTCGTGACTTCATCAGCATTTCAGGCGTATCTAAAATGGAGAAAGCAGAGTAGTGGCATCATCGTACGAAATCAGAAATATTACAAGAATCAATCATTATATGAGAAAAATCTTACAGCAGAGACTGTCGTGAAAATTTCTTGTTAGCTTTATTCTAATAGATTCTTATAAGGTATTCAGTAGAGTGATTGCAACTCTGTCTTTGTTGAAATGTTGGTCCGTTGATTGTGCGATAAAAGTTGAGTCCTATTCCAATATAGTTGTAGCAGAACGATGTGAAGACGCGTTGATTTGCACTTTATTGCGGGTGAAATCCATGTTGCAAGGTAAAACACACAAGACCTGGTTAACACAAAACCAGAACTTGACAACACACAACTTGGATTGGTGACTCGACCTTTTATATTGAGTTTGGAGGTTGAAGCAAAGACAAACAATAGGTTTATGAGATTGTGTGGTTTGACCTAACGAACAGATAAGTAATAAACTAGATCAAAGGATAGGACCGACATGACGAGTTTATGAGTTCATAAGATTTCTGGCGCTTGATTTCCTATAATCAAAAGGTCAATGTGAGGTTACGAAATCTGAGATATATTTGGATCTTATTTCGGTTTCCGATAGAGATCAGAACGGATCATAAAGAAATTATGGGGTTATGGCGTTCACTTCGATAAGACTTCCATTCATATTCTCAATAATGTATAAAAAACGAAATAGCATATACATCGATTTTATTGTAACTGTGAACACATCTAACGCAGCTAAGATTAGGCTGTTATTTTTAGTAACAGTAATTGTGAGATATTTAGCTACTACTACCTGAAGTTACGCGTCATATACCTCGATCTAAGCAACTTTTCAATTCATATCATGAAAATAAAGAAAGAATAACTTACTGTATTTAAGTTTGCGTTTAATCAAAAAAGGGAAGTAGACCGGTCTCCAGTTACTTCGATGCCACGGACAGTTACTGCGGACAGATATGACCATTGCACCGAATGGACGAAGGAGCATCTGGAAATAATCAAGTGAACAGTATTATGAAGCCCGGGTAGGTAAAGTCAACAACACCTCCGTCAGTACATTTTATATCGCTATTATCACGACCAAATCAAAGTGACATATTCTCAGTAATGGGTGCTTGTTGAAAGTATGCAGTCTATGACATCCTGTCTGGTAGGGTGTTGTTTTTGGTTTTATGAAATGTAGCGAGGTTCTTTTCTTCTACTTCAGCGCCTTTTCAACATGTTTCATATAATTTGTGTTGTACATGTCTAGTCTAGAAAGCCAATCTTAATTTCGAAAAAAAACTGACAAAATTTCAGGTTCATTTTCATTCTTCATTTGTTTCGATCCTAATGGAGCACGTGTTAGACGTGGAATCTTTAAAAAAGCTAACACCCGAACAGCAGAAAACTTTAATATCCGGTGTTAAACAACAAGCTGCTATTCTAAATGCCCAGAATATGATTACTGTAAGTTCGCTATCACTGTGGTTGGGATTTTCAGAACTGCTATGGTTTACTTTACTTATTGATTCACAAATTTCAAAAATTATTAAGTTTTACAGGAAGATTGGTTCATGTTTCTTCCTCATTTTATGGGACACGAAGGAAATAATAAACCAATTTTATCATAAAGTTTTGCACTTATTTGAGGATTTATCGGAGAGGTGTTTAACGAAGTGTATCACAAGTCCAGGTAGCGCTTTATCAAATACCGAGAAACAGTGCTTGCAGAGGTAAGCTATTATAGCTTTTATTTCATGACATTATATTAGAAATCAAGTTAGAAAATTAAGTTATTTGGAAGCTTCTCAGAGTGACATAGGTTTTACTTTTTTCTAACATTTTACTTTTTTTTAATATGTTCTCGCTCCTCATTATTGCAACTAAAGATGTGTGAAAGAGGTTAAGCATAAGCTAAATGATTATTCAGTTGAAGATTATATACAGTTTGTGCATATCTATATTTAATATAATACTAGTCTAAAAATATACATTTTCTTTTTTTCGAAACCTTACATTGATTATGTCGCATCATAACCTAGGAATTAAAGACAGTATAAGTGTGATCTTCAACATGGCTTGGTCTTCAAATCTTCAAATTTTTATAACTCGATAGGTTCCAGTTCTTAAATATTTCGCGTATGACAGTTTACTGAGATCCATTACGTTTTTATCAAGTTCAGCAGTTCTATTATATTCCTTTCTTATAGGTGTATGGATCGGTTCATGGAAACTTATAACTTGGTTTCACAAACACTACAAAAACGTGTTCAAGAAGAAATAGCCGCTTCCACACGAATGACGTAATTCGCATGATTTCCTTAGTCATAATTTCTATTTATTACAGTGTTCCTTGTGTTATTATTTAAATCTTGTTACGTTTGAGACTTATTTACAAACTCGAAAGTATTATTTAGCAAATAGGAACTCTTAGAGAAGTATATTTCGATGACATATTGAAGTGAAATTTTCTATTTACTTATAAATAATAATCCTTAACCTTCTCACACATTTATCTTTATTTTACTCCCTCGTATAGATTGTTACGTTACAAATTTATATAAAAAGTGAAAACCGCGCCAGATCATAATAGCAGTTTAATTATATTGTTTATAATTGTTATTACTATATCTTGTTTGCTTCATTTACTTTCACGTTCGTATGTTATGTTGTCCTAAATTATAAACGTATTGATGAACATTTTTATGCTGCTGTGCTTTAGGTGCAACTATCAACGTTTGATCTTGGAAATTTTATCACTTTATCAAACTTAACAATAATGAAGGCGAAATAAAAAACAAAACACCCGTTTCATTACATCATTATGTAACCCGACCAGTTTTTTAAACACCTTAATTTTGGTGCCTCCTTCAAAACTTCACATCACTTAATTCTCTTTCTTTTTCGATTCGGGAATTTGTTTGTTTTTTCAAGTAATTCATGGCCAACACTTTTGGACTCTGTCCTGAAACTACTCACGCTTAGCAACTTGATAATTAAAATTCTGCTCTTCTAAACTGTGACTGAAATAGCCTTAGGTCTGGACTCTGCGGTAAAGGGTTTTTTTTATTTGTAGTTGAAAAATTTCTCGAATTACCTCGACGATTTGACAGATAAGATGGTGCCAATTTTCTTGGCTGTCTTCAGATTAGTACTCTGTAAAGCATTCGCCCAATCATCTTCACTTCCTTTGATTGTATACTGCTTCAGTTCTCGACCAATTTCTTCTTTTAGTCTCGCCCGATCTCTATCTTGCCTTTTTTTGATTTCTACAGCTGCCTCATGAAGCTCATCCTATAAATGCAGCAATAATACATCTTTAAATTATTAAAGATAAATTTCCCAGGACAAAGTTGATAATCCTTTTATTTACGAACAACAATATAATGAATTTTTTTTTCAGAATTTTGTAGTAACATGGAAGTACAAGTATAAAAAATAAAAAATGATATAAATTTCTATTTTGACCAATGATTCATAATATGCCGACGAGATAAATAAAACTTACATCGAGAGAGATAGGAATAGGCTGCATTGAAGTAGCATCAACTGAATGCTCACTAGTTTCCTGACCATCAATCTCTTGCCGTATCGCATCCATACAAAGCTGATCGAGATATTCAGAAAGTTTTCGGATAGCTTTGTTGAATAAAGCTAGCAATTGGTTAACAGGTAGATCAAGTTCAGCTACCAAAACATCCATTGTTTTATGTTGCAGTCCAGCGCCTAACAAAATCGCTGACTGCACATTGTTTAGTTTGATCTAAAATAAAAACGGTTAAACTCACTAGTATGAAAAACAGACGGAGAAATGTGTATACTTGTTAAAATACGTAAAATGTATTTCAGAACACTTACTTCCCATTCTCTCCACAGTACTTTTTATTTCCAACCTTCCTTTTTCCTCCTGCTCTTGATAAAAGAATTTGAGACTGCTAACAAACCTTTACTAAGACTGTAGATATGAAAGACAAACCTCAACAAGAATAAAATCATCAAAGTGGAATGCAAAGTCAAGATAGTAAAAACATTCTGATCCTCCTATTTATATTAAGATATACAAAAATTCATATTCCACCAACTCTTTCATCGAATCGTTCTTCGAAATATAATAAAGCCAGTACTGGTAATATATCTGTGATTAAATGATGATCAATCATATTCCGTGCATACTGAGATAATCGGCGTAAATCACTGTTTGAAAAAAATAATCCAAGTTTCTCTCTGGTCAGAACTGAAAGGCAATTTTGCAATTAATTAAAAACTTCTATAAATGCTTTAGTTCTTTTTTCTAACAATTCTCTCATTTATTTAATCGAAAATAACACTACTATATCTCCTCATACTTAAATAATTCAATAATTTACCTTCTCTTTTACACTGCTTTACGATCCCACTATTTTTCAGCTGTAGAATACTGAGGGCCATCTGCGGCAAAAATTTATTGAATTCAAATCCAAACAAATGCAAAATTCGACGTCGAAATTCAGTCCAGTATAAGGAAAGCCAAGAAACGGTGCCCTCGTTCAAATCCTCCTCATCTATAAACACTTTTTTAAATGAAGTAAGTGTATTCACTAATAACAAAAATAAATAAGGATATACCTTTAATCATATCCTTCAGCATAATACAAGTATGTTCACCAGTGAGATCGCAAACAGACTGCCTCAGATAAACCGGGACAAACCCTGCACGCTTCCAGAACTTGAGCAAAGGTAAATTCAAACCAAATGAAACACCTAAAATTAACAAATAAACTTAAACATCCCTGAATAAGTGAAAAAGCTGACAACTGCAACATTTAGAGCCAAAACTAAAATTTTAAAATATGAAATTGAAAACTATATTCAATACCAATATAATCCAGTTTCTCGGCACGCCGTTCACTTAAACGATGTAGAAGTGGTGGTAAATCAACGCGTGGCTCAATAACTTCTTCCAGCAATACTAGTGCATCAGGATTCTACAAAATATTATTTTCTCATTGTTTTGTGATACAATTCGTGAACCAATCAGCAATCAATGAAAACCTAATCTTCAAGAGAGAACTGGCTATCTTATCTATAAAAGATTAACTGAAATGGCCTGATAACTGGAATCATGATCCAAAACAAAACTGCTATGTTTGCTACACTAAATTAGTTACCTCGAAATTTTACAAATACAGTCAGCTCTGAATGACAGGAGAGTGCTAATGGTTGTTTATTACGAATGTTGGTTACCTCAATATGTTTCACTTTCGCTTCCACATTAAAATCTGTCTCTTCTTTTAAGCATGGCACCATTCCATAATAATATTCTAAAAGCAATTCGAGAGCTCGTGAACCGTAGCCCAGTGCTGAAATATATCATCGTTAACACAGTATTTCTCACCAATGCAAAAAAGTCATGAATACAGTAGGCGATCCATTTAATAAACATATATAATATAGACCAACTAACACTGGAAATCGGGATGTACTGCTATTCTGATAATTCGCGCCCCACTCAACGCTGGAAATTCTTTGTCCTGAAATACTAACAGTTTCACAGTAATCAGAAATGAAGCACTGGAACAACCTTAACTTTTCGACGTGTACTCCATATACTAAAAACGTAATTTAATAGTTTTATAAATTTCATGACTATTGAAAATTTCTTCAACACAAAAAATATTTTTGTACTTATTTATACAAAGGAAATTATATCTTACCATAAACTGTTGTGACACTGTCCATGGCAACAAATCACCCGCTGCTCTTTTACCTCTTCCCATATTATCGCATACTGTAGCAGAAGATAAGGCACCTTCCATCGCTAATTGTATAACTGCTAGAACCTACATTGCAACATATTTGGTATTAGAAAATTTCAGGAATGTGAAGCAGAAGAAACCTACTTATTCTGTTTCAAAATGTGCAAGCTAAGAAGAAAGCGATAAGCAAACCTCCGGAAGTTGTGCTTGCGTTTCGTTAATTGGTCCCACCAAAACGAACAAATGATGTGCTGGAGCATCCGACAACATCTGTAGTAGAAAATATTTGACAAATATGAACTTAAGATCAATTTAAAAAACTGAACCCTTATTGAAATAATTAAAAAAGATTGTCTGGAAAAACTATAAAAAACTGAAATACACGCTCATAAAAACATGATAAGGTTTACCTGCAAATCATTAGGCGAATTTTTATAATGTGCTGATACATATATCGCCATAATATTATGAAGAAACGTTTCTGAAGCTTTGTGGAAAGAAAATAAAGTATCCCGATTGACATACAATCTGGAAAAAACTTTTGGATACTGTGTGGAAAATCAAATTCTGAGATTTATAGAAGAATGTTTTGAAACTTACAACTGACAATCTTTGGGTGGTGGCATTCCAGACACCAGCCGATGTGCATTACAAGCATTCAAACACAAAACACGATTTAGCCAAGCTTCAATCTGAAACAAATCAATGGAGTTACTGCAGCTTAAATGAGTTATTAAAATTAAAAATGAACCTATCTATATAATGAATTGAAAGAAATCAGGAAAAATGTGATCAAAACAAAGGGTTAGAACAATGTCATTAGAAAAAAAGATGAAAGATAATTTGTATCATTCAGTCCATTCTCCAGAAAAGAATAGAGTGGCATGAAGAAATAAATATAACTACACAATCCATAAAACTTCACTTGATCTCCTGGTTTGTATCTGATGCTTTCTTCGAGAATCAATTCATGCAACGAACGTCCTAAAAAGTCCTTTGCTTTCATGTTTCCAGTAACTTTTTAATACAAAATATATAGTCCTAATTTCATCTAATGCAATCCAGAGTATATATTAAAAAAAACCTTTCACAGCAGCTACCACTTGTTCATTGTTGTCATTTTTCAGCAAACCAGCTGCTTGCTCACGAAGCTGTTGCAACAGTTTCAACGAGAGCGACCGGCCAGTTCCTTCATAACCGCTGATTGTCGAGGCAAGAAAGACAAGATATGGTCCTAAAAGCCCGTGGTCAAAAGGCGCAAATCTTTGAAGAAAATTTTGACAGGGCTTTTTAGATGTTCCTGAGAGGCAAATATAAGTATTATCTCTTCACTTCTTTATCCTGTATAAATAATTGGAAACGTTTATAAAGTTCTTGAATTCTAAAATATTGCAAATAGCTTTTGTAAAAAACAACTTACCAGAAATAAGCTTCTTCACAATTGGAAATGGAATAGCAGCAGCTTCATCGACTACTACTAGTTCAGCCTGCGATAATTTAACCGAATCCCGAGGATCAATATACTAAAAAAATTATACTTTTTGAACATAAAGCTGGAAAACTAATTTGTCGTTAAAAGCAGGAGCCGTCCCTTGCAATTCCGAACCTGAATGACTTGTCGATGACCTTTGAAAACATTGATTCGGACCAGAGCTTTGTTATATTGTTTATTTGTTGATTGGATCAATTCAAAATCCGTATGCTCTTCATAATTCATGACCTCCAAACCTTTGACCACAAATTCAAATAACGTCTTAAGATTGTCAGGTGCTGGGCTCGTTACAAATATATTCGCATAGTCAAAACCAATAGCACCTGCTATTGCTAATCCAAGAGCAGCCGATTTACCACGACCGCGAGCTGCAGTTATGCAACATGTTGCTTGCAATGTTTTCTCAGTTATCACATCCAAAAGTCTTAATAGAGTCTGAAATATTAAAGTATACATTCATTTCGCCGTGTTCTGCGGTCTAAACTTTTGAAAAATACTGAACATAAGAAATCCAAACTATTTAAAATATTTAGTAAGTGATCCAACTGGACATTTAGCAATATATAAAATTACGGTAAAAAGAAAAAAAAGAGATAAAGCATACCTTTGCCTGACACAATGTTCTACATTTGTTCACCAAAAAACTCAGCGGTTTAGTTTCCGTCAATGAATTCTTCAGAGATATTAATTCTTCTTCTTGCCTGCTAGGCTTGTTCTGTAAAAAATGTTCAATTAAAACAATTATGTTTCAGGCAGTGTAAGCTGTGTATTAACTCTGAAATCACATTTTGGAAACAAAACAAACAAATACCTTAACGCTTGCAGGAATCGCCTCAATTTTAAAAGCATGAGATGAAAGTGGTAAAACATTCAAACGATCGTCCACAACTACACAACTTCGACAGCTTGCCAAAGACAATATAAACCGTTCATTGAAACGAGGAACGACTTCAGAATGAGATTCTGTACGAAAGCGACTATGGACATCCTAAAAGTTCTTTTGCATTATATATTAAAAACTAAACATTAAGATAATTTATCAACAACTATTAAGAAAATAAAAAACCTAACTTTTTGGAAAAATCACTTTTGATAGCATCAAAAGAAAGAATTCTATTTTTTCAAAAAAAGATTACCATAGCCATTGTATACAACTGCTTCAAAGAATTGACACTCTTTAGTAATAATACAATCACACCACCTCCCTCAACCGTTTCAATAGTTCGAGCCAGAAGATTAGGCGTAATAGCTTCAAAATCCTGGAAAAAAATAATGAGAAAACTCCAATTCAAATAAAATATTAACACTAGAAAAATTTCAACATAACAAGAAAAAATGTTTGAGACAATGATAACGACAACCTGAAGTACGAGCATTCCAAAAGTGCTGCCAAGAATGTTATGTGTTTCTGCATAATAACAGTAACGGATGTGTGTTGAAGAAATGAATAATTCAAAGGGATCATTATCCTAAAGAAAAAGTTAGATCTAAGTATAGAAGGAAATTGTCATTTCGAAAAATCTAAATTTCATCTCCTATTTAAAAGTCCAATTTTTGCTTAAATTTTCAGAGCCCTTCAAAAGTTGGATGCAAAAATAACCTTTACATCCATACGACCGTTATGCATTTTCCTTTTCAACTCCTTCATTCGTTTTTTGCGATGAGAAGTGAAACCAAGCTCTTTTTTATAGCACCACAGAACAGAAGGTCTAGCAGCGACTGTTGCTTTTGATAACACATGATGAAGTATGACAACCTAAAGCGTAAAGCAGAAGCTAACATAACTCTAAATTTGAATTATGGCATGAATGAGATTTCCAGTTTGAGCACAAAAATACATCCCTATATATATTCTTTAGAGAAAAAAGATGATAGCCTGATAATTACAACTGAATCATTTTTTGACTCCTGCGAATATACGCTGTTAAAAAAAGACGGAACCTGATCTTTTCCCTTATCACCAATTATGACAAACATCGAACGATGTCCCGTAGCAACTCCATTTTCAATAAGGATTCTAATCCGATTATCCAACTTCGTTCTTACCATCGTTAATAATGCCGAAACTGTTCAAATTAAATGCGTAAATTTGATCAAATTAGCACAAGAATTAAATATAACGCCAATATTTTTCAGTGCTGAAGTGGCAGTAAATTGAACACAGCAGCGATGGCCAAATCTGACCAGAAAACCCTGACCCCGCAATATCCCCAAATTCTTTCACCCCGATTAATTCATAGTAATCCCTCTTACAGCGCTGTCCTTTTCTTTCTTTCTTTCTTACAGTCTCTCACTTTCTCCATCATCTCTCTTCCTCACTTTAATTGGTCTGTTTTCACAAAAATACAGCGAGAAGGAGCGTTATGCAACAACAACAGTTGATCACGAAAACTCTGTCGTCCCTCCACAATAGTCGAATATGAGTCAAGTCTTAATTTCTTGGCTTGAATTTTTTGAATGCTTCTCTTCATTTCAGGTCTATTCTCTAGCACTCCAATAGAGCTTGAGTATAAAAGAGAAATGTAGGGACAATATTCCATTTTATTTTTGTAACAAAAGAAGCAAGGCTGTGCTAACCAAAGACTTTCATGCTTCAGAGTAGCAACTATTATATCTCAATTCTGTCATCTTCAAAGGTGACATCGGGAGCTGCTTTGCGAATGGACTTGGGAATTGATCCAGTAGAAGGTGTATGATATTAATCAGTTCTACATTATTACAGTTACCATCTTCTTAGTGAAGTATCCTACGTTATATTCTATGAAATTTAATTTGATTCCGTTTCTGTCGACATATCTCTCTTTTTAAAATGAGATATTTCTGTCACATCCTTTGTCAGATTTAAATGCCTTTTACAAAATGTAACATTAAAGGAATATTAGTCATCCATTATTTGTGTTTAAATATCATACGTTATTGCAGCATTGCCAAATGCAATATGTGAAGCAGTAAAGAGCTTATGCGTTGTTTTAATAATTTTGCTTCCTCTACAAATGTGCTGTAAGCGAAGATTAGTAAAAAAGAGAATAAAAGCATCGGTGTGTACAGTACGAAAGGCTTCCTTAAAAAATGGAAATTTATCAAGACCACAAACTACGATAAGTCCCACAAAAACCGTTGTTAATCATATGGTTCGTACAAATCTAATTTTTATGACAACCGAGTGATATGCCTATCATCATAACACTCAGTTAAAGTAAACAGACAAATTAGAGGAAAAACACGAAAAATCAGCCGTAAAAATGAAAACGGAGGAGAGTCAGTTTTTTGATTCTTTAAAACTGCTAAACTTTACAGTAAACAGCTTCTGATGCTCAATTTCAGATTGGCCTTTGTGTCATATCATTTATTTTTCCACTTATAAAATACATTTGATATAATCTCTCTAAAATGTTGTTTATGTTAACATAATAATCATACGACGTGTGGAAAGAAATCATTCATCCTGCAATGAGTATATCATAAAGTTCCAGAAAAGTAAGCAATCAAAAGATAAAAAAGTGATCAAAAAAATGGAGAAAAGTAGTACGCCAAAAGAAACGGTATTTGAATTTGTCTTTGGAATTATTCGTAGAAATTATAAGCGTACAAGCATGAATAGCTTCTCATGTGCAAATCGCCTTTTTAATATATTCATATCTTCAGTTATTGAAATGACACAAATTTATGAACTTGCAGCCCATTATTGAAAATTCTGTATATTAATTCCAGTAAATTATCTCTGTTTTTCATAAATTAGAATTTCATTTCTTGTATATGAAAAATTGTGTGATTTTAAAAATTCTTGTTGAGAAACAGTATCAGTCACTGAATTTTACAATTGCAAAGTTGGAATAGGATTAATGCTTTACAGACAATGAAGGAAAAAATCTCAAGCACAGTGACCAAATTATTAAAAAAGGTTGGTAATAAATCTATTAAATAAATAGATTATCAAATGATTCAAAAATTCTCATCTCTGCCTTCGAATTTTCGAAATAACAAAAAGATTGAGTTATTGAAACAGTTATAAAATCATTAAAAATGTTGCGAGAATTGTAATTATAGGTTTAAAAGATGTAAATCCTAAAGCTCTCGGATCTGCTAGCGAAGAAATTGAGGACTATTAGTTTGTTTGAAAGGTTGAGTATTACAAAACATTAAATATTTTTGATTGTTGCAGAAAAAAGATTTAGAAGCAACTCAAGAAGATGGATTCGATAGTGATGAAAAGTAAGTGAACAGTAAAAGTGCCATATTTTTCACAAGGGGTTTTCAAATAAGATGAACTTTTTGCATTGATCTAATTCTAAACTCTTTGAGCTTACCTACACTAAACACTATTATTTGCAGTAAAGAAGACATTGTAGAAATGACAAACGTAAAATGGCTAGGAAATTTGGATGAAATTGTTAAGGTATTTATTGAATATAATGAAATTTTTACAATCAAGAAAACTTTTCTCCGGAAAAAGCTAATTGGAACAACAAAAAAATCTGAGTGCTGTTAATGACATTCAGATACACTCTGCGGAAACTGCCAGCACATTGAGATGGATACTACAGCCATTACCCCCTGAAACATAATTGATACAGATTAATAGCAGATTTTAATAGTGACTTTTTTTGGTTGACTCATAAATGGCCCTTTTCTTTCTCTTAACTTAAGTACACAATGATTTGAACTTGATAATTGACTAAAGCTTATGATTCGATTAATACGTATAACAATTATTTGAATTCTAAGGAATTCCATTCGGGAATATGAGTGTGTTAGCATTTAAATTATTCTGTACTTGACCAATTTTATAGAGATCTCGCAAAATTTACCCTTCATTCTGCATCCATCTTTTAACTTTATAGAATCGTAAATTAATGGTGGATAAAGAGATAGAAGAAATGAAGTCTACTCATGAAATGGACGATTTGAAATCTCTGGAGCCATTTACAGATACAAAATTGCATGTTAAAATTGCCGAGAAAAAATGTCTTCTCTACGAAACGAACGATGAGCCAACTTTAGACGATGAACTAGATGAAAAGATACTTTAATGCTATCAAAAACTTTTATTTATTATTTTCGTAATCAAAATTTCAATTATTGGCATTGTTTGTTTTAAAATTAGGATGTTAATTAGGAGAATTTTCATGTACATCATATGGGCATTTGTTTAATTAAATTTCAACCTCGATAATCAATTATCGATTCGCAGGTAGAATATAGTCATCAAATGAAATATAATAATATGGATTGTAAAGTAAAAAAAAATGGAAAGTTTCGACTGAGACGGAAGAATGCTCAACAAATTTTTGAACGACAAGAAATCACTCTTGGTTAAAAGAAAGCTAAAGATTTTTCCATCAGCTTTAGAGTATGAATTGACATTGATTACTTTCTTTCGTCAAATATAATCGAAACATTCGGCAGAATTGATTGAACAAACGGAATAAAAAGGAGGTTGGACGTTTTAAAACAACTATCAAAGTTGTCCTTCCTGCTCACAATCGATTTTCATTGATTTCAAATTTTTCCTTTTATTCCAGATATTTTCTCAAAAAGTTTAAATTCAGGAGATATATCGCATACTTTCTAATTTATCGTGAAATTTTCCCCCTCATCTCTTTCTTCTTAAACTTACTGTTTTTTCTTTTTTTTTTTGAATGCTCGCTCGACCAAATTTTTTCACTAAATTTAACTGTAACAAATACAATTAATTGCTCCATTCACTTTCCTATTATTTCTTGTTATTATTTTGTTCTATTATTGTGTCATTTTTTTTCCGACTGCACAAATAATGGCTTGATATATGCCTAAGCTTTTAACTGTTGAAGAGTAAACTGATCGATAAGCAAACGAATTGGCTTGATAACTGATATTTTGACATTCTGAAGAAATAAATTGGCAATAATCATATCAATCAATTTAAATCCCAGTTTCGCATATGTCATAAACTCAAAGAAAAAACTGTTTCAAGATAAGCCAGTCATGTGAAGAGTCCTATTGAATAGAGAAGAGGGGGAAAAGGAAAAAGAGAGAGGGAGAGAGAGAAAGAATATTAGTTAACTTTTCTGCTTAGACTCGGAAATCGAAACGATTGTAAGGAAAAATAGAAATACCATCTCATTCTTAATAAAAATTCTCATGTCTACTTTTTCGATCTCTTGGAAAAAGAGAGGAACAGGAAAGGAGAGTGCACTCGTCCATGTTCACTGAATTCTTTCATCAACAAAATCTTTTTGTCATCAAAAAATTTTTCTGTTTTGATTTTTTTCCAAGGAATTAAATTAGTTTCTAGGAAGTTTGCTGTTCTCTTCTCCTCGTGCATTTATTTTGGACTTTTGAACTGAAAATCTATGGTTAAACGAAGTTCCGATGATTTCTCACTTAGCTTAGATTCCTACTCGAGTTATAAATAATCCTCTGCGGTTATGAAGGAAAATATTTTTTACTGATATAAAAGAAATTACCTAAAACTTCTTGGAGGAATTTTTAATAATTCCGGCATATTCCATTGTCTTTGCTAACATTCATTTTCGCGGTGCATCAAAATATTTAGATGAGAAGAATTCGTGCTAGTTTTGGAAGAATATTCTTAAAATTAATATTTATTTGCTTACTCACTATTCCTCTTATTTAAAAATATGAGCGTGATAAAAGTTTCAAAAGGTCGTTTTTCTTTTTATCTTTTAAAAAATTGAAAAACCAAAATCAATTTATTTTCACCCTATCATTGCGGTTTCTCATCTTACCTAGCGCAATTATCGTGAGCGTCTTTGTAATACCAGAAATTGTTAAACTGTGATTTTTTTCTCATACGTTCTTTTTTCTCATACGTTATTCGCAATTTTTGTTTCCATTCTCCTGTTTGGCCAATTTTTTTATAGGTTGATAGGTGAATATAAACGCAGTATTATTATAATAAAACGCATTCAGTGTGTTTTAGAAAATGAATTGATGAATATATTGATATTTTATTCAAATAGTACTATATATGCAGTAGATTTCATTTCAACGAGTGTATATTTTCGTGTTTCACTGGTTTCTGTTGTTTTATGGAACAAATTTGCATTTTAAATTTGCTTAATTAAAATAAGATAGTTAAAGGTTGAAGTGCAATTTTTCGGTACTTAACGATCTAAAGTGTTTATTCGGTGATGGTTTTTATTAGCAATTATTAGTTTTTCGTTCCATTTCTTTAGATTTCATGCGATCGAAAAAGACAAGGTTGGAGACAAAAAACTGAAAAATGTTTAATGGAAAAGGAAAAAAATTGTTAATTCGATGAATTAAATGGTGATTTAATTGGTGTAAGGTTAATTAAAGATAATTTGACTTTAAAAAAATTTTTTTTGCATTAATGGCAGGTTAATGCATCACCTGACAAGCCCAAATACGCCGACAGCTGTGCTATTGAAATGCATTTCGGTGCTGTGCCATTGCCGCGGCATTCGTGACGTCGATGTATTGCAAATACTGAAATGATCTCTTTCCAGCTTGATTTTGTAATTTTCAGCAGAAATTTTAATTAATAATCAATATTATTCTCCCAAACTGTTCTACCAATTAGGCCATTTTCAAATTTAGTCCATTAGAGGTGTTGGTAGCTGAACCGATTTCTCAAAAGAATTTATCCAAACTTTTGTTACCTTTTTCAGCTATT